GTTGCAGAGAAGGGCTCAGTGTCAAGGCATAGAGGTGTTATTGTGCAGCCTTCAATTATGAGACAATCTACCTTGTAGCTTTTTCGCAGCTCCGGCTGCACTTAAGGTGTGTATCTGTCGGTGGGTTTGATGGTTGATATTGCTCCGAGTGGCTTTTGATGATTCGTGGTTTTGCGGCAAAAAGCTTTTGAACACATCTCTCTGGGCTCTGAATTATAGGAAACAGCTGAAAGATAAGTAGAAGGTGGCAAACAATTTGATGTTTTGCAATTGGACAGGAACGACTTGGGAAAGTAGAATGTTATATTGGTTATAGGAGCAAGTTGGTTTGTGGATAGTTAACAGAGCAGACCCGTGCAGACCCTAAACCAAGAAAACTTTGTTTAGCTGAGTTTGGAACCAACAGGCATTGTTTTTTCCATGCAGTGTCCATTAAATCAGGGGTGTGACCATTAAATCAAAGAAATGTCCATTAAATCAAAGACTTCTCCACAAGGTATATAATAGGGGTTGCATACATTGAGGTTTGACTGAAAATGACCATGTTTACATCATTTGGCATAAGACAGTGTATTTTGACACAAATGAATATATACAAATCAAATAAACATAAACATAAACATAAACAAACATATCATGGCCATCTATCCATCTATCCGTCTACTCTGTCCGTCTGTCTGTCTGTCTGTCTATATCAATCATCTATCATCTCTCTCTCTCTTTTTTTTTAGAAAAGTTTTATTGATTTTCTCTTTCATATACATATTTAATGAACAAAGTATTGACCAGGTCATATCTTATGCAAATCATAACATCCAAATACAATTATTTAATTTCTGCCAAAATATTCTTTTCCCCTACTTTTTTTATTTTATCTTAATACCTTCTATACTTATTATATAAACACTATCTCCATCCGCCCTTCAAATCCTAATTTCTTAGCATTAGCATCCATCCATCCATCCATCCATCCATCCATCCATCCATCCATCTATATCTATCTATCTATCTATCTATCTATCTATCTATCTATCTATCTATCCATCTATCCATTGATCCATCAATCGATTGATCGATCAATCCATCCATCTATCCATCTATCCATCTATTTATTTATCTATCCATCTATCCATCTATTTATTTATCTATCCATCTATCTATCCATCTATCCATCCATCTATCCATCTATTTATTTGTCTATCCATCTATCCATCTATTTATTTATCCATCTATCCATCGATCCATCGATCCATCCATCCATCCATCTATTTATTTATCTATCTATCCATCTATTTATTTGTCTATCCATCTATTTATCTATCCATCTATCTATCCATCTATTTATTTATCTATCCATGTATCCATCCATCTATCCATCCATCCATCCATCCATCCATCCATCCATCCATCCATCCATCCATCCATCTATCTATCTATCTATCTATCTATCTATCTATCTATCTATCTACTTTTCCTGTCTCTCTCTGTGTGTCTCTCTCTCTCTTTCTTTCTCTCTCTCTCTGCTAATATATCTATCACTACAGCGAACAGGTTTGATAAGTCACAGAGAAATCAATTTATGTCCTCTTTTCTCACATTCCAGCTTGTTTGTTTCCCTCCCTGGATCCAGCCCCACCCTTCCTCTGACAAGCCCTTTCCTTTCAAGGCAGCCCTTGTCAGATTGCCAGTGCCTGTGGTGTCACTAGACCCTGTGTGAATCTCAAAGGGCAAGGCTTAGTCAGGCAGGAAAATCCCTCGGAGGATGTCACAGATGCAAATCAGGTGAAGAAAGAGAGTTGTCTGGGCTTAATGAGCTACTGATAAAAATGGAAGTGATGAATTTAAAGATAAAACAGGAGGCGGATGAGGTGTAAAGCATCTCTTACCCTTTCAGAAGTTACTAAAATAAATTTGGAGATGCTTTGAAGCTGTTTAGCCCACTGTTGGCAAAAAAAAGTGTCTATTTAAGAGTCTCACACTCTGATAGGGAATGAAGTCCTCCAGGTGACCCAGATAGAGTCCCCCCTTTTTTTTATCTATCTGGAATTTGATGGCCACCAGAAACTATAATGAGATCAGTCAGTCCTGAAGGAAATCAACCCTGACTGTCCTTTTGAAGGACAGATACTGAAGCTGAAGCTCAAATACGTTGGCCACCAAGTGAGAAGACCTTGATGTTGGGGAAGATGGAAGGAGAAGGGGACAGCAGAGGATGAGACGGTTAGATAGGGTCACGATTCAATGAACGGGAATTTGAACAAACTCCAGGAGAGAGTGGAGGATGGGGAAGCCTCATGTGTTATGGTCCATGGAGTTGCGAAGAGTCCGACATGACTTAGTGACTGAACAAGAAGAAGAACAAGAAGCCATAATGATGTCCTGCATGCCAGGACATTAACATATGTTGACACAATTGGATTACTTTCCTGCTATTTGCTCGATGATGTCATGGTATGTTTGACATCAATTATGGGAGTGCCTGTCCTTCCCCTCCCTTCCTGTGTGTAGGTGTTGTGTCTACTATGAAAGTGAACACAGGCACAAAATTTTGATAGATACATTGTCAAATAGCATGCCTGTAAATTTTTTAAAAAATAAGAATGTGCCCCTTTGCTCTAATATCTACTTCACAATTTAGCACTGGAATGACATCTCACTTCTGGTTGATTGACCTTAAACACACGATAGATACATTGTGGGAATGTATCCTTCAGTCTGGGCTGTCGGTCACAAATCTTGGCTGTCTATCCCAGACAGAGATAAGTCTTGATAGGGAATGTGCTCAGAAGTTTTTATTAGATGAGATCACACCAGGTTGCTCAGCCAAGTCTGGAAAGGATTGCTGTGCAAAGGTTCCCCTTCTCTGCCCAATCATAATGGTATGTGGAAATATTGGAATCCATTGTTGGAATGCATTTCTATGCAACAACTACAGTAGCATTCAGCCAGTAGATGGAAGTATTTACAAGTTTGGATCTATGATATATAATCTATGCTCTTTTGTTCTGAGCGGAGTTTCCTTTTTCTTGTTACACTTAAACAGCTGAGCAGTAAAGCACATGGTGACTGTACTCTTTGTTTGCTCTGTGCTGCTTTATCTAAAACAGAATTTCTAACAGGAAGTGACCTTGGGAGATCAAAGGAAGTTGCAAATGGTAAATGTCTTCGAAGAGACTACAACTAGTTTCTTGGAGCTCTGTGGAGGTTCTCAATAAACCAGGTTATACTTGACCCAAAGATGCTTTTTTCTTCACAAGGCCACAAGACTGTTTTTTATTTGGGGAAGAAGAAAAAGAAATTGTTTCACTTCTCATCCAAGAAGCTTCATCGGTTCTGATGGTGGGGGGAATGGAAGGACAGGTATTGGCAGTTGAGACTGGATGTTGGGGGAACGGAAGGATAGATTCTGATAGGATGGGGGAGGAAGGAAGGATTGCATTTCTCTGAAGTCATCTGGTTGTTAGTACTCTCTCTGAGAGCTCTTGAGGTCACCTGGGGGTTTATCTGTGCCCTCAGTGTCACTTCAATCAGGGTGCAATTGGTTATGGAATCTTCTTGGAATTATTGCAAGAGCTGCATTGTAGACTGGAGATAGGTGGTGTCTTATTCCTCCCCGTCTGTTGAGGCGGGGGGGAGAGGTGTTCCAGACTAACATAGATGGATTCTTTGACCCCTCTTTCAAACCAATGATCCTCTCTTTCCAAAATGTGGATTTTGTTGTCTTCAAGAGAGTGGCCTGTTTCTTTTAAGTGCAGATGGACTGCTGAATCTTGTCCCGATGGGTTCGTTCTCCTAGGTTATGCCATGCGTTTGTGAAGTGGCGGTTTTGTTTCCCCAATGTACAGATCTGAACATTTCTCACTGCATTGTACAGCATATATCACATTGCTGAGTTTGTGTCTGGGTGTTTTATCCTTGGGGCAGACAAGCTTCTGCCTTAGCGTAGTCTAGGGTTTAAAGTGTAAATGTATGTTGTATCGGTTGAAAATCCTCCTGAGGAAAATATCCTCAGATATTCTTGCAACGTGCGGAACAACAATGTTTCTTCGTTTCTTGTTCTCTTCTTTTTCTGTTATGGAGAAGATCTTGCTGTGTCTTTTTTTTTTTTTTTTTTTGAGGGTAGGTGGGGGGAATTTGATGAAGGCCCTGTTAGGATAACCACAAGTTAATGCTGATAAATTAAGAGTTCTGAGGTACTTTATTTTATTCATTTTTTATTTTATTTTATATCCAATTTATATACCGCCCTTCTCCCTGAGGACTCAGGGTGGTGTACAGCCAAATAAAAACATAAATTACAAACATTAAAATAGTATTAAAAGGATATATATAAATTTGGTACCCTTCACAACTTGTGTTTATTTGAACTGGGCCTTCATCAAATCCCCAAAAAGGCCCCCAAAAGGGGTCTCTCTTCTGTATTGGACAAGAAGGTGTTTTTTTTTTTGAGAATGAATACAATGTGCAGTGCGAGATTCTTCGATCATGTGGCTAAAACTGCATTTGGTGCTGAAAAGCACTGATCAGGATACTTACTTCAGGGGTGGGCTTCAAAAATTTTAGCAAGGGGTTCTCTGCCCCGTTGCTGCGTGGGCGTGGCCATGGTGGGCATGGCCCAGTCTGCCTCCTGCACCACGGTGGACTGGGGGCATTTTTGCCTTCCCGGGGCTCCAGACGCTTTCCTCAAACCTCTGGGATGACGAAAACAGCCTCCCCAGGCTCCAGAGGCCCTCCAGCCTCCCTGCACAGCCTGCACTTACTTGCATCCAAAATGGGCCACATGGGACTTCTGGGAGGGGAGGGGGCAGTGTGGGTGGGGCCAGCCAGGAGTGGGATTTGGGGGTTCTCCAAACTGCACAGAATCTTAGCTAGAAGTTCTCCCGAACCCACCCCCCCAGCAGCCCACCCCTGCTTACGTTCTGCTTTCAGCACATACGAGTTGAAATATATATATATATATATATATATTGGTTTGTTTGTTTTTTTTTACTTTTTTCCAGTGGTGCATTTTCCGAAGTCGTCCTGGCTGAAAACAGGAGCAGCGGAAAACTGTTTGCAGTGAAGTGCATCCCCAAGAAGGCCCTGAAAGGGAAGGAAAGCAGCATAGAAAACGAAATCGCCGTTCTCCGAAAGTAAGTGCCTAAAATATCATTTATTTGGCTGCGATTGTTCTGTCCAATTTCCCAGCAAGACACCAGAGATGAAGCTTTCACCTCTGCTAAACAGATGTTTGCACTGAGTTGGTAAGAAGCTCAACAGACATGGGATGTTAGGTTGCCACCGATGATCAGTAGGGAAGTCCATGGGACTGCAACAGTGGTGAAATGCAGCCGGTTCTATCCGGCTCGGGCAAACTGGTAGCAGTGGCAGCAGGAGGCTGTGCCTACCCACCTGGACATCATCATGTCCTGTTTTTGATGCTCTGATTGAAGATGCTCTGATTTGTTTCATACACACGACATACAGGTAATGCTTGACGTATGACCATAACTCAGCCCCAAATTTACTATATTTTTCAGAGTATAAGATGCCCTGGAGTATAAGACGCACATTAGTTTTTGGGGAGGAAAACAAGAAAAAAAAAATTCTGCTTCTGCCTACCAGCATCCATCGGTATTCATCTGGCTAGCGTCCTTGCAGCAAACAGCATACAGCCTGGTCAGCTTCAGCACATTATCACAGCCTGATTTAGCACAAACAGCTGATTGGTGGTTGCATTGGCCTCCTGGAATACCACCAATTAGCTGTTCCAGGCTGCAGGGATCGCCAGAGCCTATTACCGCCTCTGCACATCACATTTTCAGCCTCCGCGCATTGTGTTTTTGTCCTCCGCACACGCCGTTTTTGTCCTCCGCATGTCATATTTTCAGCCGGTTCCAGGGGGTGGGGATTGCCAACACCACTGCTGCCAATCCCCGCTTCCTGGAACTGGCCGAAAATGCAATGCATGGAGGCCAAAAATGGGGTGTGCGGAGGCCAAAAACACGACATGCGGACGCCGAAAGTGGCTGAAGACTGGGGACCAGTAAGACGCTCTGCAATTTTCACCCACTTTTAGAGGGAGTGGGAAGTGTGTCTTATGCTCCGAAAAGTACAGTATGTTGCTAAGTGAGATCATTGCTAAGTGAGTTTTCCCCCATTGTATGACCTTTTGCCACAATTGTTCAATGAATCCCTGCAGTTGTTAAGTACCGTATTTTTCAGAGTATAAGCCTACCTTTTTTGGTGAGGAAAAGAAGAAAAAGAAATCTCCCTCAGAGCAATTTTGCCTCCTTGCAGCAAACAGCAAACAGCCTGCTTTACTTTCATTTTTGTTTTCAGCATAGCTTGATTAGCACAAGGGGGAAAAAAAATCTGCTCCAGCAATTTGCCTCTTTGCAGCAAGCAGCGGAGCCCTGCGCAAAACAGCTGAGAGCAAATCAGCTGAGAGTCGGGAGGCCCATCCAATCAACTTGTGCTAATTAGGCTGTGCTGAAGCTGAAAGGAGCTGTTTTTTCTTACTGTTTGCTTGCAAGGAGGTAAACTGCTGGGAGGCAGAGGCCAAAGGGTGGGGGCCAGTGGGTGGGCAGGGCTACATTTGGTGTATAAGACGCACCTAAATTTTCACCCCCTTTTAGGGGGGGGAAAGGTGCATCTTATACTCCGAAAAATACGTTAGGTCTGGCTTCCCTACTGAGTTTGCTTGTCAGAAGATCGCACTTGGGGATCACAGGACCCTCATAAAGACGTCATAAGTATGAGCCAATTGCTAAACATACGAATTTTGATCATGTGACTGCGGGGTTGCTGCAATGGTTATATGTGTGAACAACAGTCATAAGCCATTTTTTTCAGTGCCATTGTAATTTTGAGCAGTCACCAAACAAATGGTCGTAAGTCCAGGTCGACCTGTACTGTGTTTGGAAGCTCTGCCCCAGGGTTCTGGGTGAGTTGTAGTTTGTCAATGCCAAAAGGTGGAGATAATCTGAAGCAGCGATCACCAGTGGTGGTCCATGGAACACTGGTGGTCCACGAGAAAATTTTGGTAGTCCGCCGAAAAAATATTTGCATTTTTTAAATATTGCACTAAATCAGGGGTCCTCAAACTACGGCCCCTGGACCGGATACGTGCAATGAATATTTGTGTTGCTGCAGAGAGTCTCCCCCTTTGGTGTCTTTTCGTGCGGGTCGGAGGGGGTCAGATATTCCGACTTGGGGTCTGCTTCAGCCTCCTGGTGGAGGGCTCCTATCAGCCAGATTCAGGGACCCCCTGGTTCCTCTTCAAGATACAAGAGCTTTCATAACTTTTGGGTTCCATACAGAGATGGGTCTCAGCAGGTTCTGACCAGTTCTGGCGAACCGGTAGCGGAAATTTTGAGTAGTTCAGAGAACCGGTAGTAAAAATTCTGACTGGCTCCGCCCCCATCCATTCTCTGCCTCCCAAGTCCCAGCTGAGTGGGAGGAAATGGGGATTTTGCAGTAACCTTCCCCTGGAGTGAGGAGGGAATGGAGTTTTTACAGTATCCTTCCCCTGCCACGCCCACCAAGCCACACCCACAGAACTGGTCATAAAAAAATTTGAAACGCACCACTGATTCCATCCGTTGCTTCCTATGATTTTCAGGGTAAACCCTGGGTTAATCTCCCAACAGGACTACTCTGTTACTTCTAAGGCACCTCCAAAGTTTCGTTGCTTGGTTTTTCTTCCACAAAAAGTTAAGGCTAGCAGGCCGAGGTCAAGAATGGACTTTCTATTTGTTTCACGGAGTCATTTGTGTCAGGAGGGATATTGATTTTTCTCTTGCAAAAGAGGATGTGACTCAGGTCGATAGATTTTCAAGATGCGTGTTTTCGCATATCAATAGTTCCCTTCCATTGTTTCTTCCTTCCCTTTATGGTAGAGGGATCCATTTATCGGTTTAATAGTCTACCATTTGATCGCTCCATGGGATGGAGGGTTTCTTTCCTTTTTCTAAGCATACAACACCTGTTGTGTTTCTCCAAAGCATCGTTTTTTTCCCCCTCCTATCTGGACAACTGGTTTTCCCACTGCTCTTGGTGTAAAGATAGGAAAGCTGTTCCTCTTTGATTTGTCCTGAGAGAAAAAATACCTCACAATGTTGGGTCTCATCATTGGCTTAGTTGACTTGGTTGATCCTTGTCTGTTGGGAATTCTCTGTTTTTCATCCATCGATGCCTCCACTGAAGTCTTGATGTCTTCTGCCTTAGAATTGGGAACGTCCAATTCCAGAATCGTTCAAGGATAATGCAGAAGACATCTTACTGGGCTCCTTGGAAGCCTTCTACAAGAGATTTTTATTCATCAATAAAGACATCTTAGAAGACTTTGGGCAGAAAATGTTTTCCGCTGTGCAATATCAAACAGCGATGTTTTGCCTTTCCTCCTCCTCCTCTTCTTCTTCTTCTTCTTCTTCTTCTTCTTCTTCTTCTTCTTCTTCTTCTTCTTCTTCTTCTTCTTCTTCTTCTTCTTCTTCTTCTTCTTCTCCTCCTCCTCCTCCTCCTCCTCCTCCTCCTCCTCCTCCTCCTCCTCCTCCTCTTTCTCCTCCTCCTCCTCTTCCTCTTCTTCTCCTTCTCTTCCTCTTCCTCCTCCTCCTTCTCCTTCCTCTTTCCTCCTTCTTCCTCCTTTCTTCTTCCTCCTTCCTTCTTCCTCCTTCCTTCTTCTTCCTTCCTTCCTCCTTCCTTCTTCCTTCCTCCTTCTTTTCAAAGCTCCACTCATTTGAGCAGAGGGCACTTGTACTCGTCCACGAAGCTCCATTCACGCTGATGGAACATCACGCCTGAGTGCAAGCGCCTTCCACTCACACAAGTGGAGTTTCACACGCATGGAAGTGGACCTTCACATGCTTGCCCATCTCTCCTGTGGCCCAGGTTCAAACTGTCCATGGCCTGGGGGTTGGGGACCACTGCTTTACAGGAATTAAAATTGAACCTTTAATTGGCTATCCAAACCTCATCTTGAATGCATCCAGCAAATTCCGGCTGGACTCTGCTGTCCAGTAATTTAGATATTTATTCTGTGGTGCTTCCTGGATTGATAAAAAAAAAACAGACTTTGACTTGTAAATGACCACTTATCCTTGTATATGATCCTTCTAATTGACCACTTGAACTAAGGACTGAGTAATCCGATCGGTCTATTATTCCTCGCGATTTGAAAACTCTACTTGTGTCGACGCAGCTTAAAATCTTATTTTCTTCTATTATTTTCCAGCCCACTTCCTCAGAGAACATTTCGAATGTTCCCTCTGTCTCCTAGAGTATTAACTACCCCGCACATTCTTGAGTCATCTCCTAAGAAACCAAGATTTCAAAGCAAAGTCGGACAGATTCACCATCTTTTTCTCAGGAGGCCTTCTCAGTCTTTGGTTTCTCGTTTCAGACATTATTACAAAGTGTAAATTCATGAGAGAGGCAGTCTCGCGGGGGGGGGGGGGGTTGTGTGGCGAAAGGCCCAGGCTAGAAATCAGGACGGTTCACTTAACAACCATAGAAACAAAGGTTGTAAAATCGGGCATGACACATCAAACAATCGCTTTGCTTAGCAATGGAAATTCTGGGATTGTAATTGTGGTCCTAAATCAAAAACTACCCATGCTTTTATTGAAACAGCTTATAGTACCAAAATTTTGCAAAATTTTGAATGTTCTTCTCCTGCCTGGGTTTCTCTTCTTGTGAACCAGGGAGGAACTTACCGTATTTTTCAGAGTATAAGTTTTTGGAGAGGAAAATAAGAAAAAAGCTGATTGGCAGGTGGATCGGCCTCCTGGAATACCCCCAGTCAGCTGTTCCCAGAGGTGAATTTTAGCAACAGGTTCCTTGGTTGTGAGCTCTGTGCCTTGCTTTTTTTTTTTTTTTGCTTTTTTTTTCTGCCTCTGAAAGCCTCCGAAACAGAGCTTCAGAAAAAAAACCCTCTGAAGCTTTGTTTCTGAGGCTTTTTTTTCTGAAGCTCTGTTTGGAGGCTTTTTTTCTGCAGCTTTGTTTCTAAGGCTTTTTTTTTCTGAAGCTCTGTTTGGAGGCTTTTTTTCTGCAGCTTTGTTTCTAAGGCTTTTTTTTTCTGAAGCTCTGTTTGGAGGCTTTTTTTTCTGAAGCTTCATTTCTGATGCTTTTTTCAGCCTTTGAAACCTCCGTTTGA